TTCTTTCTTTCTTTTTTGAGGCAGAGTCTCACCATGTTGCCCTGGTAGAGGGCTATGGCAAAACAGCTCACAGCAACCTCAAACTCTTGGGTTAGCTGGCCCTGGCCGGGTCCAAACCTGCCAACTTCTGTGTATGTGGCTGGCTTTGTAACCACGGTGCCACAGGTGGTGATCCTGCCTTTTTTCTTAATGGTGACAGTCATGCACCTCTTGGAGGCATGTGTGGTCATGAACAACAGCCACAGAGCAGGCGAGATCATCCTGCTCATGCATGTGCTCATGTGTGATGATCTCTGCACGGCAGATTTCTTCCCATAGAACCTCAGTGTGAGATGATATTGGTACAGACTCATGGTTCCCAATGCTGGATCCACTCAGAGTCCAAGTGGGTCCTTGACTTTGTGTGAGAAATAATTCAAGAGCAAGTGGACAGTGTGAAGCAGAAAGAATTTGTACCCAGAGAAAGGGAAAGGTCTTATTCACAGAAAGAGCAGAGGCTGGTTCCCCAGCAGGAGAGCAGCCCCTCTCATTTCTTTATTTCAGCATCAGCTTAAGGAAAGAATTTTCATGTTATTTCATGGAAAGGAGCAGTGACTTTTTAAAACTGGGAATCCTTCCCTTTCCATAATTTATAAATTGCCTCTTAGAAGTTCCATAGTGTAGCTGGAGTTTCTTTTAGCACGCTGACACGTTATGAATAAAGCATAATGAGCTACAAGGCCGTTAAGTGCCCACATCTTCCCCATCATGGTTTCCACCTGTCCTAACTTGTTCTGTCATCACACCTGCCTCTGAGCAGCGTGCTGGGGGCTTTGGAGTCTGTGATAACTGTGTGCCTGTCCCTGTCTCAGCACACTTACACTTTATTTGTGATGTGATTCCACATTGTCCACAAACAATTGTTTTATCAGGTTTGTAGAGGTTGCAATTTTTCTCCAGGTTAAAATGTACTGACATGATTTCTATTTCCCAGAACCTCAGTGTCTTTTGTCCTCTTTATGTTATTGTTGATTTTTACTTTACTTGCCTGTCTACATCCTCCCTCAGTTTTTATATTGGACCATCTGCCTTTTTGGCTAGGTGTTTTTAGTGGTTCTCACTACGCAGTGGAAACCAGTATTTTCTTACATGAGTTGTAAAGATTGATGTAATTAATTCATGTTTAGATGCATGATCAAACAACAACAGCTGTGCCTCTATATAAGTTCTCTTTTCTACAAAAATGTGCCAATTACAAGATGATATGTATAGATTATTCTGTTAGAAACTCTTCCTATAATTTTTGTAGAATCAATGTTTTTATTTTTTGAGTCGTGCTGAGTCTGGAGAAAATGTGTTGTGAGGTGTGAGTGACTGTGAACTTCCTGCCACAGACAGCCAGGCTCTCGTCACCCTGCACCACTGTGAACACTGTGCACGTCCCTCACTTATGGGTTAAGGACGATTATATTAGAAACCACTGACATTTGATTTAACTATTTTTCACATAATTATTTTATTCCTTTCATTTTTACTGTCTATTGGTAAACACAACAATTTTAGGTTCATAAAAATGATGATTATCCTATTTTTTAATAATTGTAAAGGAAGAAAAGTTTCTGTTCCAGCGTTATGGGAGAAATGAAACAAGACTTCTGTGAAAAGAATGAGAAATTCTACATGATCATCTAAAGCAGATCCATATACAATAATGCCATCATTTCAAGCTGTTTTCAAAAAACACAGTGAATTTTACAACATATTTGTTAGGTAGTTAAGTGGTGCTGTGTCCTATTGTGAAAGAAATGGATATGTGTGTATCATGTATGTTTAGAGAGATGGAAAGCTCAGCAAGTCCCTTCACAGTGCTGCGTTATCCTGTGTGTGCACATCTGTGTCATCACACCTTAACACTGAGACTGTACATCTGGTATAAAAGCCTGAAAATAGGAATGAAACTAGTCTGAAAAATCTTTGGAAATGGCCTGAAAAATTTGTTTGTGAAACCAAATAGTTTGTAAGCTAGTTCAATTTTACATTAAAATTGTAAAAAGCAGTTTTACAGGAGATGATGCATTTCTAAGGCACACACGTCCCCTGGGAAACACCTCAGGTCCTAAGAAGGCGAGTGTCGTGGTGTCTTCTAGAGAAGAAGGTTCAGGGGCTGCATGCCCAGGGGGAGCAAAGCAGCAGTACCCGTCTCACAATAGCAAAAGCCAGGAGAGACTTTATGTAGAAACTAATCTTTGTATAGTTTTTTGAGTAATACTTATAACAACAAAATTCTGCTCTAGATAAAAGTATTCTGAGTATTGATACCGTGAGTGGAATTGTTACTGTTCTTCTGTCCACACACAATTTGTGAAATATAGCTAAGCTCAGTACATTTGTTTCTATAATTTGTGAATTAGAACAATACATTTATCCATATACTATTTTAACTTATATGATTTTTATATTTTCCAGTTTTTAACAATGTTCAACATGGGATAATTCTATCTTTCAAATAGGAACTAAATCTCTGGAAATTCTGACTTGACCAGGTAAGTAGAGAAAGATGTTTTGTCCCAGGAGGAGGAGAATCTCCATAACGCCCCTCTTGCTGGCATTCACCCGGGAGACCCACAGGTCAGGATCCCAGCTTCAGTTCTGGGACCCAGCTACTCCTGTTTCCCCTTCTTCCTTGGGGTAGCAAACTTCCGGTAGCAGAGCAGACAGCACTTTGTGATAACGAACATCACAGCTGCCCCGCAGGCCAGCAGGAAGCCAATCACGTCCAGGGAGTGGTACTGGGCCCAGCTGAGGTCGTGGGCTGCAACCCGCAGGTGCTTGGCTCCTCCGTGGCGCATGACGAACTCGATCCAGAAGACCGCTCGATCCAGGGGCTTCATTGGCTGGTCATGGTGAATTTTAGACAACCTCACAGCATTCTCTTTATATCTGCAGGAGAAATAAAGGATTCCATTATTGAGAGTAAGTTTATTGGCTAATCTTATCAAATTCATGAAAAAGTTTATGCTTCATTTAATTTCTAAAGAGAAGAACCAAAGCAAACAGACAACCTTCAGAATGGGAAGAGATATTTGCATGTTATGAATCTAACAAAAGCTTGATAACTAGGATCTACAGACAACTCAATTTAATCAGCAAAAAATGAGCCAACAATCCCTTCTATCACTTGGCAAGAGAGATCAATGGAACTTTCGATAAAGAAGATAGACGAATGGCTAACAAACATATGAAAAAATGCTCATCGTCCCTAATTATCAGAGAAATGCAAATCAAAACCACTGTGATACATCACCTAACCCCAGTGAGAATGGCCCACATCACAAAGTCTCAAAGCAGCAGATGTTCATGCAAATGTGGGGAGAAGGGAACACTTTTGCATTGCTGGTGGGACTGCAAACTCATACAACCTTTTTGGAAGGAAGTATGAAGAATTCTCAAAGAAGTTAAATTAGATCTCCCATTTGATCCTGAAATCTACCCAGAAGAAAAATAATTATTTTTATCAGAAGGACACTAGCACTAACTGTTCATCTCAGCTCAATTTACAATTGCCAAATTGTGGAAACAGCTTAAATGCCCACCAACCCAGGAATAGATTAAGCTATGGTATATGTATACCATGGAATACTATTCAGCCACTAAAAAATATGGAGACTTTACATTTCTCCTATTAACCTGAATTGGGGTAGAACACATTCTTCTTAGTAAAGCATCACAAGAATGGAGAATCAAGAATCCAATGACTTTGGTTCTACTAGGAAGGCAATAGATGGGCTAATATAAGGGAGGGGGCAAGGGAATGAGGGAGTGGGGTGAGGGCAAGAGAGAGTGGGTTTGAGATTATGGTATATGGCATACTTCTTGGGGGTGGGGCACAATTATAAGAGGGAATTTATCTAATCAATGGAATCAGTGTAACCTAATTCTTTGTAACCTGAATGAATCCCAAACAATAATAATAAAAAGGGAACAAAATTCTAGTACACACAACATGAATAAAACTAAAAAAATTATGCTTAGTGAAAAAGCTATTTTTAATGTACCATAAAGTGTATGATTCCTATATGTGATACCTATAGAGAATAATCTATAGAGAAAACATAAATTAGCATTTCTTGGGATTAGGTGTTTATAGGAGGAGATTGCTATGCCTTACAAAATTTCCTTGGAGTGGTACAGAGGTTTTCAAATTATAACTCCATAAACATACTAAGTATATTTCAGTTTTACCTTTTGAATACATACATTTTATGCTATGTAAATTATATCTACTATTGAATCTATTAAAATAATAACAGTATAAAAATACATTTTGGAATAAAAGAAAGGAAATAAATTAAGAAATTGTAGGAATTGAATTAAAGTATTTTTGAATATTTCAAAGTTTATTACTCCTTTTAACTATGGATTCTGTCTTAATTGTAAAGATTCATCTTGTTTACACTTCTTTGTGTATCTGAAGTTATTTTTATATAGAAAACTTCTGTACCAATTAGTTTCCCATTAAGTTTATTGGGTTCAATGCAACTGTGAACTAAGTACCTGGTGGGAAATGAAAGCAAGTTGCTGATTGATTGAATAATTTATTAGCTTTTAATTTCCAAACAGTAGGGGGTTCACAGCATTCACATTCAAGAAAATTTATAATTTCAAAATATAAAGATAATTTAAATTGTTTTCAAAACTGATCTACTAAAAATATACTAATGAATTAATCTCATTAAGAGAACCTATATAGAAATACCACCTAGTAAAAAGTCATGCTACTCACATGGGATCATTAATGACCATCTTCAGAGCACTGAGCAAATCAGCACTGGACATCGTGGTGAAGTCCAAGGTGACAGCTGCTCCCTTGGCCCTCATGTGAGCCATGTTGTCAGCTTGTTCCCCAAACAAAGGAATGCCCAGCATGGGGACCCCGTGGTAGATGGCCTCATATATGCCGTTGGCTCCACCATGAGTTACAAAAGCCTTGGTTTTGGGGTGACCTACAGTTGGGTGAATATCAGCGAAATTATTCATTACACGTCTCAGGAATAAGATGAGAAAGTCACATTATAGGACAGTGAAAGGGGAATGTTTTCTAGATAGCAGAGCAGACTCCCACAAACCTACACTAGAACTGCTCTCAGATTTCAGAAGCAGAAGGAACTACTTTTGCTTGAGAGAGAAGTGAAGTCTGCAAGTAGGAAATGCTGTGTGACTTGAGAATGGAAGACAGACACAAGATCACCAAGGGACAATGAAAAAGAACATTCTAGATAAAAGAAACGAAGTGTACAAAGACAAAGAAAAGGAAAAGACAAGACAGAGTCAGGCTTATTAGCACTTGTTCTCTCAGGGAAATGGTGCAGTCATTGCATCTGACATGCAAGGTGTCCAGGCAGCAGGGAGTATGACAGGAGCAGGGCTGAGGTCACAGCAAGGATAGGCCACACTCCTCTGTGAAGGTGATGTCACTTTATGGTAGGGACTGGGGATTCCTTTCCACAGACAATGCAGAGTCTCTGGAAAAAGAAGAGGAACTATGATGGTCACTGTCATGTAAAATGACTCTGAGTAGGGAGAAGGTCAAGGTAAAGTTGCTCCAATGGAGGTAAGAGACCAAGACACCCACAAGAGCTGAAATAGACACTTTGTTTCCAGATGTAAAAAATATGAGTGTGTGTAGGAAAATGCAAACTGCTACAGGTTATTCTTTCCCCCCCAGGACTAGAAATGTGTATAAAGCAGCTGGATTTTATTTTTGAGTTTTCATAAATATTGTTTATGTTAAGCTATTGGCTGACTATCACGGTAATTGGCTGTTACTCACGTATTCGATATTTTTTCCCAAAAATCTTACCAAGAAGGTCATTCTGGGGCAGCCATTTGTACAGCTGAGTATTGGATCCCAAAGTGTCTGGTTTCTTGCCATCAAATCTCCACAGGACCTGTTCCGGTGGAGAAAATACATCATTCCATGAGTAGAAATCCAAAATTAAGGCAAGTTTGCTTTCTAAAGGGATTGTCAGCCTTGTATCTAACCCCCTTCATATACAGTTGAAGAAATCAGAAAAAAGGCTGGTAACTCAAGAGTAGGACTCAAATTCTAGGTAAATAGAATAACCGGGATTCATGTGCTACTGTCATGATCAATGTGGTATCTAACAACTTCTGAGTAACTTACACAAATGATTCCTACACTGGTAAATTCAAGCATTTTAAAAATTATTTGCCCATCAATAAAATTCTGGTAAAAGAAATACAGTAGTAATGGTCTACATTTCTTTCTTTATACTAGCTGCAATTCTCCAAAGCTAATATTAATCTGTTATTATTAGTTTGTTCTTTTAAATGTCTTATTTTTCATTATTTTGGACATAATAATAGTTGTACATACATGCAGAGTACATGTGATATTTTGATACAGGCATACAATGTGTAATAATCAAATCATGGTAATTATAGTATGTGAGGTCTGACAATTAAGTTTGTGAACTCATCCTAGCAAACATGCTACCTGCCCCATTGCTGAATATCACCACAGCCACCTTCCAAGAACTACCCTTGGGAAGCTGTGCACTGACATGAGTGCTTAGTCCACCCTTCTCAGCGATTTATGTGCTTTTTTTCTGGAATGGCCATATCAACAGTTGTCATATTACCTTTGATGTCCTGAATGTCAACCAATGTCTTCCTCTTAATATTTCCTTTATCTTCCAGTGCAGAAAAAGTCACTGGGGGCCAGGTCAGGTGAGTAGGGAGGATGTTTCAGTACAGTTATTTAGTTACCTGCTGAAAACTCCCTCAGTCAGTGCCACATGAGCTGGTGCTTTGTCACCATGCAAAGGCCATGATTCATTGGCTAAGATTTTCATTTAAGATTTTCCTACAGCTACTTGGCTTAACCCTTCTAGAAGGGTCTGATTGTGTGACTCGCAGCAAATAGTTCATTATGGAAAGAATAAAAACAACTCAAGTTCATAGCAGGCAGCCTGCCACCATTTGGACCTCCCTTTTTAAAACTGAGACGGAGATTCCCATCATGTTGTCTCAGATTTACATCAGAACTGCTCAGGATCGATACATTTCAAGTCTGTAAATATGGATACCAACATTATTTAACCTAACTTAAGAACTATGGGGAACTGAACCTTCCACACTGAGGGCTGCATGCTACTGCATTTAAATCAATACATTGGCTACCTGATTAACAGCTTTCATCCCAGGTAGCACTTGTAATGTTGGCAGCAATTTGAGAGCAAGTCTGAATGGACTCATGTGTAATCTGCTATGAAAAACCATTTGTATAGTGTGTTTCATTTTTTAATGTGCAAAAATAAAGAAAATTAATAGAATTCTGTAAAAAAAAAA